CAGGGGCTCGGCGCGCAGCACCAGCCCGAGTACCGGGACGCCCCGCCGCACCTTCCGAGATACCCGCCCACGACCGAGCTGGCGCTGAGCGAGCACTATCAGCTGCCAACGCGCAGCCCTCCGGGCGTGGGCCACCGCCCCACCCAGCCATCGTCACCGATCACTACCAGCTCCGCCGCGTGACCCGGCGTGGGGCGGCTCCACCGGGTCCCATAGCATCGTCACAGATCACTACCAGCTGCCGCCACCCAGCTCAGCAGCGACGGGTACCGTACCGGCCATGAGAACACTATAGCAGATCACTACCAGCTGCCGCCACCCGGCTCAGCCAGCGACGGGTACCATACCGGCCATAAAAAACATGTAGCAGATTATTACCAGCTGCCGCCACCCGGCCCGCGGGCGGCCGGCACTACCACGGACGATGACAACATATAACAGATCACTACCAGCTGCCGCACAGGCCCTCCGCGCGGCCGGCACTACCCTGACGCGAGCACATCGTCAGGCCCACTACCAGCTGCCCGCCCCGCGACCCAGCCTGGCACGGACACAACCCGCCTCCTGAACCAACCCGGCACGAACAACTACCCGCCGCCTGAACCAGCTCGGCACGAACACTACGCACCGCCTGACCAGCCCGGCATGAATACCGCCCGAGCCCCAAGCCGACCCTCGGCGACCACTACCAGCTGCCGTTTCGCGGGAACCGTGCGCCCGGACACGTGCGGCCGGACACCAGCAGCACTACGGGAGCTCAGAGGCGCGGAGTACGCGAGTCGAGCCCGTGTCCGCACACCAGCCTGGGACCCGGACGGCGACTGTATCCGGGGTCTGGGCGGCACGACTACCCGAGACCACACCGTGCCCAAGACCGGCTTCAGCTGCAGCGGGCGGCCGGCCGGCTTCTAGCCTGACATGGAGACCGGCTGTCAGGTGAGGACTGGAAGAGCCTGTCGGGTGAGGACCGGAGAAGCTGTCGGGTGAGGACTGGGTTGGGTGTCAGGTGAGGACCAAAGAAGTGTTTGATGAAGACTAGCTGGGGTCAGGGGAGGAGGATAGGTCGGGAGTCCGGTGGGACCGGAAGAGGCTGTCGAGTGAGGACGGGTTGGTGTCAAGTGAGGACTGGGCCGGGAGTCAGGTAAAGACCTTAAGAGGCTGTGGATGAGGACCGGTAGAAGCTATCGGGTGAGGACTGGAAGAGGCTGGCGGATGAGGACTAGGTTGGGTGGTGCCAGGTGAGGACTGGGCCGAGAGTCGGTGAGGACCGGAAGAGGCTGTCGGAGAGGACTGGGCCGAGAGGGTGAGGACCGGAAGAGGCTGCGGATGAGGACTGGGCCGGGTGTCAGGTGGGACAGGAAGAGGCTGTCGGGTGAGGACCAGAAAAGGTGCGGACTGGGCCCGAGCGACTGGTACGGACCAGACAGACTAACCAGGAGGTGAGCATTGAGACTCACCGGCAGGTCAGTGCTGGTTGGTTGTCAAAGGATAACCGAGAGATAATTATGCATAAGCTGATAGGTGACAAACTGTACCACACACGGAATCCGCTACGGGACGGGCTCGGGGACAAGGCCTGTCAGCTTTTTATTTCCAGGATTAAATATTGGCTATATGAGTTGCATATGACACGACATATCAGAGACGTTGGATGAATTGGCATGGATAACATAACATAAAAAAACCAAGAATTTAGAAACTGAGGCATTTGGTAAGGGTGGTAATGCATGACGAGTAAAGCGATGTTTACATGAACGGAAACTTTTCCAACAACGGGGGACGGAATTCCAGCGCGTTTTCAATCGAACAATATGTCCAGAGATGGTGAGACGGGGAGCCGTCGGCGTCCCGGCCCAGGCTCAGCCATGGTCCGGCCCCGGCTCAACCTGTCCCGGCCCAGCTCAGCCCTGTCCCGGCCCCGGCTCAGCCATGGTCCGGCCCCGGCTCAACCTGTCCCGGCCCAGCTCAGCCCTGTCCCGGCCCCGGCTCAGCCATGGTCCGGTCCCGGCTCAACCTGTCCCGGCCCAGCTCAGCCCTGTCCCGGCCCCGGCTCAGCCATGGTCCGGCCCCGGCTCAACCTGTCCCGGCCCAGCTCAGCCCTGTCCCGGCCCGGCTCAGCCATGGTCCGGCCCCGGCTCAACCCTGTCCCTGTCCCGGCTCCGGCTCAACCACGGTCCGGCCCTGGCTCAACCATGGCTCAGCCCTGTCTCAGCCCTGCCCCGGCACCGGCTCAGCCCTGTTGAAGCCCTGGCTCTACCCTGTCTCGGCCTTGGTCCGGCCCTGCCCCGACCCTGGCTCAGCCCTGGCTCAGCCCTGTCCCAGCCCTGCCCCGGCTCCGGCTCAGCCCTGTCGAGGCCCTGGCTCAGCCCTACCCCGGCCCCGGCTCAGCCATGTCCCGGCTCCGGCCCGGCCCTGTCCCGGCCCTGGCTCAGCCCCGGTTCAACCCTGTCCCGTGCGTCGACAGGTGTGGCACTACTGCTCCGAATCACGCAGCCGGCAGTCGTTCCTCTGCAACGTGGGCACCGTGTTCAGCCAGCAGCACCTGGTGTGCGACTGGTGGCACAGTGTCGACTGTCCGCGCTCCGACGCCTTCCTCTACGTCAACGAGCGGCTGTACGGCCGCGAACCGGAGCGGTACGAGGCGCCGCCGCCGCGCCCGGTCCCGGCAGCGGTGGTGGCGGTCCGACCAAGCGGGCGCCGCCTCCCACGGCCGCCGAGCAGGGAGCGCCGGCCCCACGCCGCGGCGGCGCCTCCGCCGCTAGAGCGGCCCGTCCGCCGGCGGCGCGGTACGCCAGCGGCGCCAGCCCGCGGCCGGCGGCGACAGAGACGCCGCGGACCTACTCCGGAGACGGTCATCTGGTGCAGCCCGAGAGGCCGCCAGCGCCAGCGCCGACGCCGAGCACGCCGCGGCCGGACATCCGCCACCGCGGTACGCCCGAGCCGGCGCGGCGCCCCGCCGGCCGGGTCACAGCGGCGGAGGAGGCGGGACCAGAGCTCGGGTGGGGGTATCATCCGACGGGACACGCAACGGCGGGACAGTATCCCGGACGGAGCGACACACGCCAGCGCTTATACAGGCGGGGAGTATTACCGGCAGGGGTATCATCATAACGAGTACACTCCGGTGGGGCAGTATCCACCGCAGGGGCATCTGCCGCCCCCGAGAGCGCCTCAAGGGCACCGCCACCACCCGGCCGGGCCAAGTCGAGCCCGCACGAGCAGGGCGGGCTTCCCGGGGGGTACCATCCGCCGCAGCATGAAGTTCCTCTGGACTATTACCCTCCTCCGACAACTGCTCCACCCCTGCCGCACCGGCCGCCACAGCAGCGCTACCCCCCGTCGCCGCACGCCACACCCGACGTCTATCATCCTCCTGCGGACCTGTCAGGCTACGTCCACCACCCTCCACCGCACGCCACCGCCAGACCTTACCCGCATCCGACTATGCGCGACCAGGATACTATACCACCGAGGTCCATGGAATGCTGGCAAGCGGTGATCATCTACAAACAGTATCCTGGCGACTCCGCCCACGTACGAAAACTCAGGCTACCATCTTCCACATCCATACACGACACCGGCGGGGTATCACTATCAGCAAACGCGTACACCGCCAGCTAGTTACCACCATCGACATGCACCCACAACGCCAGCAAGTTATCACCATAGACATGTGCCCACAACACCAGCGAATTACCACTATCCGAAACCACCCACAACACCAGCGAGTTACCATCATCCGCATCCACCACACGACCCAGCCAACTATCACTACCAGCATACACCCAAAACCCCAACGAGCTACTACCACCCGCATCCACACCCAATACCATACAACTACCACTATCCTCTGCCTCACACCGAGCGACCGCGGTACCCCTCCAGCCCCGTCCCAACATTGTTCCGACACCCGCCTGCTCGCACCTACGCCGTACACGGTACGTCTGCCCCACGCAGACCTCCGTGACCTCCGAGGCGAGCCCAGTTGGGCAGCAGCGACGGCAACCCGCCCATGGAGGCGCCTCCGTCACTGCCACTGGCGACGCGGCCCCCCGGCGGGCAGGTGGAAGCGGCGGCCGAGGAGCAGAGACGGCGGCCGGGCAGGCGGAGACGGCGGCCGGGCAGGTGGAGACGGCGGCCGGGCAGGCAGAGACGGCCACCAGGCGAAAACGGCACCGCGCCTGACGCCGCCGCATGGGTGGGGCGCCGCCCGACTGGGTGTGGTGGGGCTGTCTGGGACCCGCGTCGCGTGTCCCGTTGCGGGTTTGTAGACTGGGCAGTCTATGTGCCGAGGCTGAGCTTGCCTGAGCTCCGTGTGAGCTCCGAGGCTGAGGAGTCTACCTGAGCTCCGTGTGAACTCCGAGGCGTGAAGAGTTTACCTGAGCTCCGTGTGAGCTCCGAGGCTGAGGAGTTTACCTGAGCTCCGTGTGAGCCGAGGCTGAGGAGTTTACCTGAGCTCCGTGTGAGCTCCGAGGCTGAGTTTACCTGAACTCCGTATGAGCTCCGAGGCTGGGGAGTTGAACTGAGCTCGGCGTGCACATCGAGGCTGGGGAGTTTACCTGAGCTCCGTGTGAGGCGTTTGTTATCTGCGCTACGGGCGGTGCGTTGCTTGGTTTATTCAGAGTATGGTAAGGGCGTGATGCTTGTTACCTGGGTGCAGAACAGACTGTTATGCGAGATGTCTGGGCCCAGTGTTAAATGTGTTGTTAGCTGCAAACATCGCACGCCAGTGTGACGTAGAGAACACGTGAGCGCGTGCGCGCGCGCGCGTGTATGTGTCTGTGTGTTTGTGTATGTTTCGGCCCGACGTCACTTTGTTAATACACTGACCACTGCCAGCCGTCCACTGTCGGCCCAGTCTCGAGTGCACGCCCGAAAGCTCCCGCCGACCAATAAGCAGACATCGCATGGCTTTATTGGACGATCTACTATGTGACATGGAGAGGACAGCCAAGAACTCGAGGAGAATGCACCAGCTGCGGCCGTGCCATCCCGTCTAGGCGGATGGCGGTGTGACAGCGAGGGAGCAAGGCGGCGCCGCGGCCGGCCGCCCGCTCACAGGTACCCCGTGGCCGAGCTGACCGGCGAGCCGGGCGCCTCGTCCGAGGTCGACTCGGCCGGGCCGCCGGCCGGCGCCGGCTCGCTCGCGCTCGTCGAGTCGACCAGGCCGTCCTGGCTGGAGGTGACCTCCGTCTCGTCATCGGCGCGCCGCTGGCAGGCGTCGCCGCTGGAGTCGGCCGGCTCGGGGGCGTCACCTGGCGGCGCAGGCGGCGTGCCCCGTCACGAGTGAGCTGTGTCAGCGCGCCCCGTCAGTGAGCTGTGTCGGCGTGCCCCGTCAGCGGGCTGCGTCGGCGCACCCCGTCAGTGAGCTGACGGCGCGCCCGTCAGTGAGCTGTGTCGGCGCGCCCCGCCAGTAAGCGTGTCGGCGCGCCCCGTCAGTGAAGCTGTGTCGGCGCCCCCGCCCCGGCACAGCGCACGGCCACGGCAACTGGCCGCACGCAACACTCGTCACTCAGACAGATCTGCGCCGGGCTGCGGGGGTACACTAGCACGCGCATATCAAGACAGGAATGGCTACAGACACAGCCTATACGCGTCTATGGTGCAGAAAGAACGAAGGCGGTCGGCGGTACACCGAGCACTACCGGAGGGTGGACGGTACGCACACTACCGGAGAGGTGGACGGTACACTGAGCGCTACCACAGGGGCGTGCGGTACACTGAGCACTACGGGGGGGGGGGGGGCGGGAGCAGGGGGACGGTACACTCACCACTGCCGGACGGTGCAGGGGGGTCGGTGGCACGCGCCTGCAGCGCTCGACAGAGCCGCTCCAGGGTCTCGATGCGCCGCCGCTGGGCCAGCAGCTGGCTGTCGTCGGCCTGTTTCTGCTCGGCCATCTGGAGGAGGGAGCGGTTGCTGCCCTCCCAGCGCTGCCGCCACGTACTCGTCTCCTTCTCCAGCCGGCGGATGTTCTTCTGCATCTGAGGTGGGCCGGTGACCGACCGCGGTCAGAGCGCGGAAAGTAATGGGGCACACAGAAGGGCAGACAAAGTGGAAAGGAGGGACCGGGAGAACGGAGATCTTCTTTTACCGTTTGTCCGCCTGTATGAAGAGTAAGTTATGATAGGGTGAATGATAAAAACAGGGAAAATAAAGAAAATAATGGGTGAAAACCAGTACAAAATACTAGGTCATCCTTACCACGAACACAAATTAACTATAAAGCTATGAAGTAAAATATATAAGTGTACGCCTAACATAAAATAACCGAAGAAAATTACCAAATACATGCTGAAACGTTCAAACGCTTTACCACACACAGCCTATGAACAGGCAATATCCCACCCAAATTTCCTTGCAAGACAATGGTGGGATTAATCGGAGACATTAGGTTTATTTGAGTGCGTGAAAAAACATTTGCACTCTTGCCAGTTCACATGCAGCAACATGACACAACACCACAACGTTGATAAAACCACAGCTTAAGTCCAGCTTAAAGAAATAATTGCAGTTATGTCGCTGATATGATTGCGCACTCAAGGGAAAAAACCGTGAAGTAAGTGATTCATTAGTTGAAGCTTGTCGTTATAGCCACACGATACGCTAAACCACAGTAATCACAGCACGCTGTCACCAGCTAGGGCCCGCCCGGTGGAGGGCCGACGTCCCCCACCGGCGCGGAGAGTCGTCCCTACCGAGCCACCGAGCCGCGCAGCACGAGCGTGTGGTCGCCGGCGGCGGAGGCCACCGGCTGGCCTCAGGGGGACCGGGCCGGGCCGCTCCGGACATCAGGCTGGCCGCGACAGGCACACGCTGGTACTGAGACACGGCGATTATATACACGGGCTGACACCGAGGTGCTCGGAGAAGACCAGGACAGTCAAGCATTGACACCGAGTCAGAGCCGCGACGACACCGAGTTACTCGGAGATCAGGACAAGCCGCACACTGACACCGGGGCAGACCCGGACTGACCACCAGGCCAGACCCGCGTTGACACCGGGTTAGACTGGGCCTGAACATCACGCCAGACCCGCGCTGACAACCGATCCAGTTCCGCAACTGACACCGGACCAGACCGGTGGACTGACTCCGGAACGATCACAGGGCCTGACGCTAGGACGATCAAGCAGTCGACTAGTGACAGCTGACAGCTCGAACACACTCCACTGCGTCCTACGTCTGCGAAGGCCTCATTCACCGAGCAACCGGGGAGAGTGGACAGTACAGAGGCCAGCGGGACACAGGAACGGTCGCACGCTCACACTGGCCTAGCAGGGTCGGCGGCACCGACCTAACAATGCGGCGTCGGGGCAGCCGGCGCCGGCGCTGGACTACCCGACAGTGACACGCCAACAGAGGGGCACCGGGAGCACCGCACGGAACACCGCGGTACCAGGAGCGGTGTGAACTGGCACTGCGGCGCCGGAACACGCTCACGTCAACACCGGAGCACCGCAACAGCTCAGTGGCGTGACCCTCATGACGAGCGGACGAGAATGAAAGCGAGGGCCAGCGCCAGACGGCAGGCCCTCAGTTCTTACGTCCACTTCTCCCTCTCCAGAATACGGCATGTCGTTTAATGAACGGGAAAGGATCAGCGGGCAAAAGTGGGCATTGTTCTCGCAGCATAGAAATATGACAGCTTTCTGTCCGCGAGCCGTAGATGAATACCCTTTGCGAGCCATCATTATTTGTCGTGTGGTGCATTAATATTACTCGCGTGACTGGATGCCAATATGCCAATAACACTGGGGAATAATGTTCTTGAGATGCATGCCGTCATCGCGCTTATGAAAGGGATGTCTTTATACAAGATGTGCATGCAAACTGTATAAACTGAACGAAAGGACAACTGACTATTAAGACAACAATATACGACCACAACATGCATAACCACATAACCTATCACGAAAAAGCTGACATAGGTAAACTGGCCTACGTAGGAAATCAAGCAAACCACATAACAACTATACAGCGGCAACTGCTGGGTGGCACGCATCTCGTAACACTGTCCGCACCTTTTCCATTTCGGACTTGAACGTGCCGAACACCTTGTTGGACTTGGCGAGGGCGCCCTGGAAGTCCTCGTACTTCTCCGTGTAGGTGCTCAGCTGCTCGCGTAACGCCACCTCCGACACCTGCAGGTCTGTGCAGCGCTTCTGGTAGGTGGACATCTCCTGCCGGCACCGAGGGTGTCCGCTCAGCGGTGCGGGGTGGGGCGCCGGAGACCCGCCGGACGTGGCCCGGCGCCGCTCCGGCCTCGCTGCCGCGCTCTCATCAGTGACATTCACACAGACCGGACGAGGCACGGGGCTTCCTGTCTCTCGATCGCGTTAGGCCATCCAGATGATGCTGAGCGAGATCGCTGAGGAGATTCCCGCCGGCATGACGGGTGAGCACACCCGGGTGACACGCGCCCGGGTGACACGCACCCGGGTGATGGTGATCGGGTGCAGGTGACAACGAGCGGGTGTAAGCAACCGGGTGACGCACCAGTGCTTGTAACTCTGGTGTGACAGGGCACACGCGGTATCGACGCAAGGATAACTATACCACGACTGTCATATTTAAGCAGTGTACAAGAACTACCTGAAGGAGTTTTTGTTTTTCTAAGAGGAAGGCCTGCTTCTCTTGGTTCATCTCGAGCTGTATCTTGGCCAGGCGTGCCTCAGCCAACTGGGACTCGAGCTCCTTCTGCTTCATCATCTTCTCAACCAGCTTGAACACAGTGACAGACCACCCTTGGTTAACAGGCAGTGCGTAAAGCACAATCAACGCGAGCATTAGGACACAAACGACAAAAATAGAACGCATGTAGCTAAAACATAGAACACCGAAGTCTTATGACCGGTGGCACTAGGTGGATCAGACGCCGAAAAGTTACCACCAGGCCACCTAGCACCAAACCTGCCTCAGCGGACTCACCGAGTTATTCTGTTCGTACTGCTCGCACAGGCTCTTGAGCTTCTTGGACATCTCGATGTTCTCCTCCGTGAGCCGGGTGTTCTTCTGGTTGTTCTCGTTCATGGTGCCGGTGATGTCGCTGAGCGTGGTCTGGAACTTGGCGGACACCTCGCGCCGCTTTTCCTCCTCCTCGCGGATCTTCGCCACGCTCTCCTCCTGCCGCAGCGCGGGCGGCTCGCTCACCGGACGGCAGGGGGGGGGGGGGGGCGCCGCACTGTCCGGGG